TACATGTTTCGACTCTACATCCTGAGGATGACGTTGTAACGTCGAAACATGTAGAGTCGTCAACTTTTTGAAGGCCTAAATAAAATGTTTTTAATTGTGTACCAGTTTAATGTTGAATATTATTTATGATTTTAATATTGAGCACATAGGAGACTCCAATGTAAGTATGTTATAGAAAACTATTTTTAATATTGTTTTAAAAACAAGTAGTAGAAGTTCTGATTAATTTGTTTAAAGATAGAGAAAAATGTACCTGACATTTGATTACTATTGAAGAAAAAATGTTTTATATAATACTTATAAAACTATTTGAGAGGCCATTGGGAAGCTCAGCAATAAGTCTGAGGGCCAATCATGCTAAAAATTCTTGGTGAGCATAACACAAATAGCCCATTGTGTATGTCACTTGACCTTATCCCAAACAAACTGAGCTTACAGATACTGGCTTTGAAAGAAATTCTAATTATAGAACACTGAAGAAATTGTGTCAAAAAACAAAGAGAAATTTAATCACTATCTTTAAAATAAATACTGGATGCTGAAAAATGTTTGTGAGATATTGCTAATGTTTTCAAGTTTTTAAAAAAGAAGAAAAAATTATAGACCTATTAATTAACTTTACTTTTTTTCTTAGCAAGATGTTAGAATCAATTAGATGGATAAAAATAGTCTTTCTTGGTCATTTATATCTATTTAACAAAAGTTTAACATCCTTAAGAAAAAAAAGTTTGGTTCATGGAAAGGTTACCTCAATAGATCAATTGGCTTAGATTCTGTCATTCTTGTTTTATAATGATTCTATTTCTGAGATAGCCCAGGGAAGATTAAAAGAAGGTCACTCAGTTCAAAGGTCATATGGTAGACTTTGAGTTGGATCTTACACATGCACTGTTTTATTAGAAGAAGCTCACAATAAGTTAAAATAGAATTTATATGGAGAGTTTTTCCATTACTGTGATGTTGACTGCCATATATATATACAAAGTACGACTTTCAAAAATGGTAAAGTCTTGTAACTGAGCAGTTGGTCAAGTCAGTTCTTAACCAAGAAGTTTCTCTACATGATTATAAAACCAGCTGCATGCCACAAGGATACTCTGTCAAATACTAACCAACAAACCTATAAGTTACATGCGTTATTTCAAAAATGGTAAAGTCTTGTAACTGAGCAGTTGGTCAAGTCAGTTTTTAACCAAGATGTTTTTCTACATGATTATAAAACCAGCTGCATGGCACAAGGAAACTCTGCCAAATACTAACCAACAAACCTATAAGTTACATGCGTTATTTTTTTAAGTTGCTTATTTCTGTAAGATGAAAATGAAATTGCTTTGGATAGCTTGTTGCAGTCTCTTCTAATATTTATTTTTGCAGTAGCTTTGTACTGTTTTAGACATTCAACTAGTCAACTGATTAAAGAAAAAAACAATTCACATTTTTTGTCTGCTATATTAATGCCTCGACCTTTGTTAAATACTTTAAGATATCTCAACTAGTCACGAACTTAGCATGGACTGACAAGCCATGAGATCTATGTTGCTACCCTTGTGGCAGTGATAATTAGGATTGCAAAACAAAATTATTTTCTTAGATGTTTTGATAAGATCTAATGTTAAGATAAACTAAGGGTGTCAATGACGTTAATTAATTCCTAATTCCACATTATCCATCACACACTTGAAATCGTGCTCTGCGAGAAATGTTTAGGGTACAGAAACTAGACTACTGCATTTAAATCTTTCTTTAAGGTAGTTTCTAAAAGTAACGTAAACATATAAATACTGCATCACGGAGAGGCACACAAGTCTGAAATGGTTTCATTGATATCTAAGGAACCTTACTCGCTGAAAATCCTCGATACGAGTCATTGACATTCAGCTTTGGCTGAGGCTTTGGCTTGATCTTTTTCACCCTGTTGATGACAGCACCCTCTTTCAGCTGTTGTAGGGTCAGTTCACCTTGGTTTTGGAGGTAATAATCTGGCCGATGACCATGCTGTAGCAAAAGATAAAAATATCAACATAAACTTAGAGTCAGTTAGTTAGTGAATCTCTTGTGCATCTGTTAACAGAGAATACTATCCATATAGCTAATAAAGTTCTGAAAACCTTGTTACAAATTATTCTATGATTAAAAAAGAAATGTCAACACATTATAAGGAAATGTGAAATTGCCTTTAAAAGCAATTATCAAAGCATTATTTTTATACTTGATAAATTACTAATGGAAACCTTAACACTTAACTTTTTAATAATGGCTTAATCGTGCAACAAAATATTTCTATACTAACTAGTTGCTTGTGAGATTTAAGTTTCTACATCATTTTATGTTTGAACTTGATGGTTCAACTTAATTAAAAACATCTCTAAGTTACTAAAATGGGACTAAGCATTCCTGTACCATATCTGTAGCTTTCTGGTCAGCTCCAGCTTCAAGCAACATGTTATAGATTTTCCCATCATCGTGTAACACTGCTGCATAGTGGAGTGGAGTTCGACCTTGCTGTAAAATAAAACACTTTTTTTTTCTAACAAACGAAATTTATATTGTCCTAGTTTGTATAAAGATATTATTTGGCTCTGTAATATTAGGTGTGTTTTCCAGTATTAGTTAAAGGTCAATATTTAGACAAATAAAAGTTCCAATTTTCATCATTATTATTTTTACTTAATTTATAGTGTGAGAAAAATTTTTCAAAAAGCTCGACATAGTTTTGTTCTGACCCAATCTTCTGAAGTACATCAGTTTTTAATAATATAATTAATCATAAGTAAACATGAACTATGTTGATGTAAAACCTTAAGGACAGCAATCTACATTTACTGAAAATAAAAAAGATGGTACTGTGTGATGAATAAGTTCTTTAACTCAAAATACTTTATACTCCTCGTAAAATATTTTTTTCTGTAAGCAGTAATGTTATCCAATGACTAATAGCTTCAGTTACTACATTTCAGCAACAATAAGAACTGGCAAGTCAAGCAACTTTCAGGCTTGGCTTTAGTGGGTAGTCAAAGTAGGCAATGTCTAGGGCAGCAAAAATCAATAAAAGTTTTTGTACTGATTTTATTCATGACAGAATTGACTATCTTGTGCTTACTTTACACCCTTTGCTGTCTTTTAGTGACCTGTATTCAAGGACACAAACACTATAAAATAATCAACTTAGATATAAAAAGTTTAAACTAAATTCAAGAAACCACATAAAAAGTAGTTTCCATTGCAGCTACAAGGGGGGAAGGGAAAATAAAGTTATTCTAAATCTAAACAATTAAAGGTAACGTACAGATAGGCCAGGTAAACTAATTTAGTTTATTCATGCAATGTTATAGATAAATTTACCAATGTATGAGTTTCCCCAGAGACAAAATTTCAAAATCTTGCTGAGAGTGGTAAGAAATCACTGTAGGTCAGCTTAGTAAAATAAACAAACTTCATATATACTTGCCAATTAAAGTGCTTAGAAACTCGAAGATTTTTGTCGGGCCAAAGTAATAACAAACAAGATACCATTTTATAACTTGTTTAACTTACTACTAATAATTATCCTGGTTTTAATTTCTGTCAATAATCTGTAACTTTTTTTATATTCCTGTATCTGGGATTTTGTATTTTAAGCCTCTCCTAACTGTATATCAGTATATATGGATGTATTCAACCGAATAGGGAAATCATCACAAAGCTCGGAATGAATTAGCATAGGTTTAGTTACATCCTCTGCAACCGGCTATAAGGTAGGCTGCTGCAGACGAAATGACATCCCTGTTACATACGTTGTTGAACACGCGATTTTCTACCCATCAAAGCTTCTGTTCGATGTTCAAGTCACGAAACATTTATTTAAAGTAACTCAAATAACGTAAGTAAAAATATCGTTTACACTTTCGATGACGAGGAACCCACTTTGAGACTAATAATGGCTGGAGACGGCTTGAATGGGTAATGAAG